TTATTTCGTTGTTTTGTAGTTATTAACTTATATAATAGCAATTATATTCTTTATAAATTAACACAACAAATAAAATATTTATATATATATGAAAAAACATTACAAGTTAATTAATAATCATATTTTTATGAATTAATTTAATTAATTATATGAGTTTGTTTATAATGGATTCTAGTTTAGAGTTGTGTTTAAAATAGGATCCTAGCAGCTTAAATGGGGTGAATTCGTATCGCTGCCCGGGATTTGAATTCAATCCGGTTGGGATAGAGTTTGATTTTATCTTGGTTTCTTTATATCTTGAATTTGAAGTTTGCATGGTTTTGATTCCTGCTTGGAGCTTTAATTTCACACATTGTTGTCATATTTAAAGCTTGGACTGCACTCTAGGATTTGGACATGTTACGGTTTGGACAGCTGCCTTTGATGTTAGGGACGTGGTTAGCATTTTCCTCTTGGACGTGATGCGGCTGTGTTTTCAGACTGTTTTTGATAATTCGTACAGCAACTGGCTTTTGATTGCTGAGGATGGTCTTGTGTATGGACAGCTGACGTTTTTGGATAGTAATCTTCTTGGCTGGTACAGATGGAGCAGTGTTCGGACCTTCTTGTGGTATTTTTTTGAATTATTAATTCATTGAAAGACCACATTCAGGTCTAGATATCTCCAATTTTGGGTCTAGTTCTATATGGGGTTTTATTTTGTTCTTGTTTTATTTTCATGTAACTTGAAGATCAAAGCTAATTTGTAGTTTTTGCACATTGCAATAAAATTACGTACTTTTCAAAAAAACAAAATTGTATAAGTTTGTTCTTAATTACACCAACGTAGGAAAGTTAGCTTAAACGATAAATCTCAAGAGGGAGTGAATTGAGTATTTTAAAATTCTTTTAAAGCCTTTGAGGAGTAAGGTTATTTTAGGCACAATAAGATGAAAACCTTTTTTGAAAACAATAAAGAAAAATTGCAGAAATTATTTTGCAAGTAATTCAAAAATGAATTTAAGATATCAATGAGAATCAAAAACAAATTTAAAGAATAAGTAACAAAGATTTATTAAGGTTTAGCCTCAATGCTTATATCCTCTCTCTAGAATCACTAACGAGTTTTGAATCTACTGTGAAACTATTTTTTCAAGGTTCAAGTATAACATTTACAATAATTTCTTTTCAAGGCTTACATTTAACCTCTACAACAATCTTTTCAAAAGATTAGACTTAACTATTCTACCTTTTAGATTGCTTTAAGGTATAACCATTAACAACAACACTACCTTACTAGGTTAAGGTATAACCTGTACAATGGATTACAGGGAAGATGAGATGAAAGCTTAAATGCCTCTAAATAGGTTGAATGAAACCATGAATACAATGAAAGAATCAAGGCTTAACAAATAAGTATAAGAACTTAAGGCTCAAGAAAGCTTGAATGAAAAACACTTGATTTTTAGAGTGATTCTTGAGGAATTTGTTGTTTGATCTTTCACTCTAGCTTCGAAATTTTTCTCCAAGTGTCCTCTCTCTTGAAAATTGTGCCACAAACCTCTATTTATATGTTGATGTTTGAAAATAGCCATTTGTAGTCGTTATTCACGTTTTTTTCTAGCTTGTCTAAACTAAAATATCGATACCTTCTATACAGGTCTTAATCCTTTACATGCTAGTTTCAAGACACTTCTATTGCATGTCTTGAAACTTATTCATCTTTGGCATTTCTTAGACTGAAGCATGTCTCAATATATTGCGACTTGGTCTCAATACATAGCAGCATGCTCTCTTGTAATCAAGTTCGAAGATGATGTCTCGTTACTTTGCAAGTAGGTCTCAATACTTGGACACTTGCTCTATGGAATTTGAAGTTCTAAAGATGAGGTTTCAATACACTGACAATAAGTCTCGATACTTTGGCACTTGCTCTCTAAAAATGGAAGTTTGGAAGTGAAGTCTCGAAACTTTGAAGCTTGGGTCTCAATACTTTTGAGCTTGCTCTCTAAAACTCACAATTTGGAGGTGAAGTCTCAATTCCTTCAAGCTTGGGTCTCAATACTTCATCACTTGTCTTCTTAAATTAAGGCTTCAGGTGATGTCTCGATACTTCTTCGTCCTTAGGCTATTTCTAAGGCATTTTAAGTTTAATATCTCGATACTTACCCAAAATGTCTTGATACCTTAGGTATTTTAGGCTTTTTCTAATGCATTTTGAGCATCAAACACTTAGCCATTTTTTGTATAAATGTTTAAGGTGTTTTATGAAGTTTTAATGCACTTAACCACTCATATTTTGGTCATTTGATTTGGTCATTTCAAAACAAGGATCAATTATAAAATTAACAATAAAATTAAAAAATATATATACAGTTAGGTTCCACAACTATTCTAAGCTCATAACCTCTCTTTAGATATATATATATATATATATATATATTATAGGTTTACATAAATAAAAGTATATATATTATAATTAATAATTTTATAAGTTATAATTTTTGTAACTTTAATACAAAATAAAAAGTAAATATGTTTATATTAAAAGTACATATACTATAAATATTTATATATATTATAGGAATTATATTCCTTATAAATTAACACAATATATAAAGTACATATATTAAAAGACATTATAAGTTAATTAGTAATCATACTTTCATGATTTTTTTTTAAAATCCTTTCATGAATGAATTTAATTAACTATATGATTTTGTCCATAATTACATGCAATTAAAAAAAAAATAGGTAGGTTCCATAACTATTCTAATCTCATAGTCTTTCTTGAAGTATATATATTATAAGTTTTTAATAAATAAAGGTTTATGTAGTATAATTAATAATTTTATAAGTTATAATTTTTATAATTTTAATGCAAAGTAGGAAGTAAATATATATATATTAAAAGAATATATATAACAGTAATTATATTCCTTTGTAATATGATATGATATTCATATTATTTAAACATAACTAATAATTTAATAATTTTTTAATTTAAATCTATTAATGATATTACATTAATAATTTGACTAACAATACTTCTCATATATATCTGTCAATTTCTAACAAAATGAATTGTTTGCAAAATTGGTGACGATGTTATGTGTTTCTCATCCTTACACAGCTCAAACCCAAACACCCACAAAATTTTAAATATTTAATTTAATTATATATTATATATTATATATTATATAAATAATAATAAAATATTTATAAATGGGTATCGGAGGTATGCATGCATTTATGATGAGACCTTAAAAAATAATTATGTTCAAATCCCGTAAATCAGCACACCTACTTAAATCCATCATAAATTGTATTAAGTATATGATAAGAACATTGAGCCTTCCACTATCATATGCAAAAATTAGAGTTCATGTTATCGTTGGCTTGTTGAGTCACTCAAGATTGAATTGAACAAGAATATGTTCATGTTATTTTAGTTGGGTCTTGCTTAATTAACTATTATAATTTAGATTAGTCACTCATGATCAAATAGTTTTAGAGGAAGATGTTAAGCAAAACATATATGGTATGTTTAGACAAACAGTTATTACCTAATAGATTTAGGAGTTATATTGGATGTAATTGATAAGTTAAGTTATTTACCAGAGTTAATGTGTCATGATTTGTTAAATCACTCAAGTTTGTAGAATATTAAATGGGATCTTAACCTATTAAGATATTAGAAATTTCTTGATTTAATGGTGAGGGTTATAATTTTGAATAAAATAGTGGGTGCAACCAATGGGATTGGAGACTTTACCTTATTGTGATACAAAGGCTTAGAAGTTACACACATTCAATCTTTAGCATTCATGTTGTAGAAAATAAGTAACAAGTTATCACCACAAAGCATATTAGAAGCAAATAAGGTCACTAGATCAAACCTTTTGGAGAAATATCACAATTTGAAAATAGTTCTCAAACAAGAAAAGAAATTGTGTCACTGTTCCTCTTGTCCTTGTTGAGGATGACGATGATGATTGAGAGAATTGTATGACAAGCAAAGTGTGAGGCATCAAGGGAATTGTTCTGTTGCAAATTGACAAAAAGCAATGTTTTTTGTTAGGGCTCATGATGGATCAAAGATGCTTGGCCACATTGAGAAGCTAAGCCAACTAGGTTTTGTCATGGACCAGCAACTTTGTGTTGACTCAGTTGTACAATACAATTCGTGATGACCTTGTACGTGAATGGATTGAAAGCTACCGTATCCTAATCGCTGAACATGCTGGACACAGTAGAGAGGTCCACTAAGAAGGAAAACAGTATGTTACCAGTTACAAAACAAATAACGCAGCTAACTGCTAAGACACAGCAAAGTATAGATAAGATGAAGATAACATATGTATTACAAGTAGAAAAGATTCAGGGCAACAAAGGAAGGGATTTGAAGGTAGTACCAAAGTATGTTTAACCAAGAAAAAAAAACAACACAAAAAGATTTCATTGAAATACATTTTCCAATGTGTAAGTTACATTTGCTTCACCATGTTCGTAATCCTTTGAATGCATCCGCAGCTCATTTTTAAATTGCGTAGAGAGTAAAAATTCTCAGATAGAGACCATTCTCTGATGTAGTGCTACACTTTCCAAGGGTTTTTGATTTATTTATTTTGTCATGGTAACTAATGTGGCTTCCTCCTTTGATCTTTTGCTTAAATCAAAATCCAAGGTTGACAGTTAGCTAACTCCTTGGAAGCTTTGAAATTTTGGGCTCTGATGATGAAGATAGCAAAGAAGTTGACATGAATTTGTTTATGAAGGATAGATGGATTTGACATGAACTTGAGGCACTTCATAGAATCCCATTTTTCTCACTTCCCAGGGGTCTATGTCACTTTCCTTCTCATGTTTCCTATCTCTTCATTTCAAGGTGAGGAGTCCAAACAAAAGAAAATGGATAATGTTCAAATCAAAGGACACACGTGGAAGACTAAAATTGATTTTTCTCAGCAGGCAAGATCTCATTACATTAAAGCAGAGAACTTGTCCATGTGGACAGCACAAAAAATAAAACATGTTGTTACATTATATTGCAGGGCAGTATAAAGTTTCCCTAAATAACCATAAGGATCTTTGCAATTAGTTTCCTCTGCTAAACAGCAATCATTCATTTATAAACCTTATTATTAATCAAAATTGCTAAAGAAACAACAAGATACTCATGCCTCGTACCATTTATCATGCAATAAAATAGAGCTCATCATAGCAGTAGTTCATGCTCAAATCAATGTAAGAATTACAGAAAGGTGAGCACGACTTAAAAATGCCTCCAATATAATCTGCGTTTGGACAAATTTCCCAAGGTAACGTAACGGCAGCTCTTCGAGGTGGGAAAAATTGTTACAGCACCTAATACATGGAATAGTTCTCACTAACCCCAGGACGGATGCTTTTATAAATTGCCATGACAATAGGAAGAATACCAGTGAGTGCAATCTGAAGCTGATCTGAACTACTTGTTCGAACGGTAATCTGCCCACTCATCTTATTGTTCAGTCCTGCACGAACTGCTATCTTTGAACTCCGTCCAACAGAGAATTGAGACTGAAAGTTGGCACCCAATGCCAAGTCCCCTCTCCATTTGACTAGAGACAAACCCAAAGAGGATTGATCCTGGCCAATTGGGAAATCTGCATCTCTGAGCTGCACTTCTAGGTTGGCTCCATATGCTGAATCACCTTGAGATCTAACAATCCCAGTGCTACCAACCAACACCAGCCGCTTTCCAACAACAATATTATCCTCAAGTTTGAACCCGGTTGCAACATTCTCACCTAAAAATGTGACAGAAAAGCCAGCAGCTGTTTTATTCTTTTTGAGATTTTTGAATTTGGTCTCACCTCTGAAAATATAAGCTAATTGCTTTCCGACATTTTGGATGTCAAAGCCAGCCATGCTTGATCCATTTTCCCCATGCTTGGCAGAAACCGAAGAATCCAAATGGATGTTAAATTCCTTCTTATCCTTTGTGAGTTGAACAGCAACTGCAGCAGGAAACTGACTGGCAATTGCTAGACTATGTTCAATATTAACACCATCATATCCACAATCATGGTCCCAACCATGAGTATCCAAAACTGGCCTTGCCAAGAACTGAGAAGTTGGTTCCAAAAATCGGTACCTGTAAGCTGGATTATCAGCATCGAAGGAAGGTGGCAGGCTCATATCAGGTAACGGAACTGGTACAGCCGCTGGACCTCCAGTTTCCTGATCAACATCTTCCCCCATATAACCATATTCATCAACAGCAGGCTTTCCTTTCTTCTTCATCTCTCTCATTCTTCTCAACTCCTCCCTCCACTGCTTTTTCTGGAGGAGTTTCACCCGATAATCATACTCCTCAAAATATGCCTTCCTCTGCTCCTTGCTAAGTTTAGCAAGCTGAGCTTTCCTGAGAGGCTTGAAAGGGGGGAGCTGCTCATACTCATCCTCATCTTCTTCTTGATCAGAATCAGATAAATCAGCCATATCAATATCTGAGTCACCATTCTCACCACCCTGACCAGCAGAGAGTTTAGGATGGGCACGAGACTGCAACAGCCAAGATAACAAGTATGGAAGAGGAGGAGAACGGACACGAAAACCAAAGAGCTTCCGATGGTCAAATGGATCTTGAGGTTTGGAAAGAGAGCTTGCTTCAGATAAGACTTTCATAGAGTAGCATAACAGCAATAGCTGAGGTCTCCAAGTTTGACCATTAGGAAGCACCTTGTGGCCATCTCTATTCTTTCGACACAAAGGATGATTTTCAACAAGAGAAACTGGATTCATCAAACTTGGATTCATCAGGCGCAGATCACCAACAGCCTGACCAATAGATTGTTGAACAACATGGGAACGTTGGGCAACAAACACCTCATAACTCAAAGGTGAGCCAGATGGACCATCTGGAGGTGCAGAAGCACCATGAGTCAAGGTAACTATGGCATTTTTCCAGATAGAAGAGCCAAGAGAATTAGTGATTGATCTTAACAATGGCAGATCATTAAGATCCCTGGTCTGGGTGTCCAGCCGATCAACATAGAGTACAATATCAGGGGGACACTTCTTTATGAAATTTTTTATAGAAGCTAGGACCTTGCGGTTGGCACCTTGCTCCATGGCTGAAGATTTCAGACCGGGGGTATCAATGATCCTGAGCTTAACACCATCTACTGTTCCTGTAATCTCTTTCACAACTGCAGTGGCAGGTTCAAATGCGTGAACTGAGACCTTGTCCTCACCAAAGATTGAATTTATTGTAGCACTCTTGCCCACCCCAATCTTCCCAAGAACAAGTATGTTCAATGAGAAGTTTAAATCATCTTTACCCTCTGTTTCAAGTTGCAGAGCTGTCCTCTTCGCAGAATCAAGGCTAAACAGTTGACTAGTTTGCCTACCTGCAACAAGTGCCAGTCTATATAGAACCTGTGCTGCTATAGAATCTTCTGGAGAATGTCCTAGCCTCTGAACAAGCCTCAAGAATTTGACTCTTATCAATTGTAACTTTTCCAGTTTCCTTTTATCTTCTTCAGTCAAGTTGTTGTCAGAGCCTCTCCCACTCGTGACAGCGGAAGGAGTGAATAGGTTAGGTCGGTTTGATCGGGGTGCAGGTTTTGCATTGTTGAGTGAGGATCCTAAACCAGCAGGACGCTCAACAGAGAAAAGCCTGGATCCATCTTGAGAAGTTATAGTGATGTTACCACCATCGGAACCAGAACCAGTTGCGGCTTTCAAAAGGGCTGCCAAAGCAGCAGAATCAAATAACTCCTTCCCCTCACCTTCTTCATCAGTGTCCACTTCTTCATCTGAGTCAACAACAATCTGACCATCAATTCTCTGAGAATGATCATGAGAATTATCTGCGCCTGAGTGAGAACCAAAGCCAGATCCTCGTTCTAGCTCCTCCAAGAATTGTTTGGCAGCTTTAGTGTTCTCAAAGATCATACCTTCAGTCTCTCCGTCAGTATCCAAGCCTTCAATTTCACCTTCTTCATCTTGATGGTGGTTTTCTTCTTCTTCTTCTTCTGCACCTTCAAAGCTAACTTCTGCTTTAGAAACTGTAGTTAGCTCTGCAGACTTGGGAGAATGAGATTCTTCTACCAATCTTCTGCTTTGAGAATCACTATCAAAATTCTCAGTTCCATGAGCTGCCATCAACTGTATACCTTGAGCAGAACGACCCACTGTCTGACTTCCATCTCCACCCCCTTCATCTATATTCTCACTACTCGCTTGTTGCAACACATCTATAACTTCCTCCTCTTGGAGGTCATTTAGTTTTGTAAGCGGGCCCCCGCTAGCAGAATCAGCTTTCTTCTCAGCATCAAAGTCAGCATTCTTTTCACAAGCCAAAAGCTCAGCAGTATCAATTCTATTGGTGGCAACAGGCTCAATATTCTTGTCAGGCACAGGATAGACATTCAGAACATGTTTATCATTATGACTAATCTGATCAAAGCCATTATCCAAGCTCGCACTCCCAGAAACCGGAACCACCTCTGTCCCCTTAATCTCAGATTTCTTACTCTCTGAAACATCTCCAACTAAAGGTGTTGCATCAACAACCAAGTCCTCTCCAAAAGAAAATTTCAAAATATCTGCTTCAACCACCTTATGATCAGCTGCTTCTACAACCACAGGATAGGCCTGTTTAGCTCCACTACCTAAAATCGAATTATTCTCCACCATCCCAATCCTACCTTCCTCTCTGCTTTCCATTGCTAAAACAGATTGGTTAGCACCACCAATCGAGCCCATTTCCTTGTCCTCCTTTTCTCCATAACCAACACCTTCAGTATCAAGCTTTTCCATCAAACCCTGACCTCTAAATCCCTCTAAACCATTATCAACAGCCCCAAGCGAGTCCTCTTTCAAAATCACATTTGAACCATCAGAGTGGACATGAGAGGCATCGCTATCCTTCACTAGGGTCGGAATTTCTTCCTCTGAGTCAGCCACAAGTGGCTTCTCGGGCGCTGTTCCAAACTTCATCTCACCAGTCTCATTATCACCAGTTTTACTAGTTTCATTAGCTTTCAAAGCATGGCCTGCCACTGAACTAGTTGCAAACTTAGAATCATCATTGGAAGCTAAAAACGAGGGAAAAGAAGAAGGAGAAGAAGAACCTGGGGAGCTAGAGAGCGGCTGAGACGCGATTTCCGGGGCAGAAAGCTGGGCGTCCATTGAAGGTAGGTTGGGAAGAGAAGAGAGAAGAGAGTTTTAGGGTTTTGGAGAGGATAGGGATTTTGGGGAATTGATTGGTAAAAAGCAATTGGATTAATGGAATTTGTGATACCAAGTTTGCTAGGAAGAGGTAAAGATAAGATGGGAAGGAAAGCGTGCGTGCGGGCCTGGGAGTTGTGTTTTCAGCCGCATGGGCGAGGTAACGTGCGGCTTGGCCTTTCCTGTGTTTTTAGCCAAACATGTGAATTTACACTCCTGCCCCTAGGCCCTAGATATTCCCATATGGAGCTAAAGGAAAATTATAAGATAAAATAGCTTTACTTTTAAGTTTTTATTAAAATTATATAAAAATTTATTAGTTGTTGAAATAAATATTTCATTTCAAAAGTGTAAAAAATATTAATAAAAATTTTAAAAAAATAAATACTATTTCTTTCTTTATTAATTTAAAAAATTATTATTATATTTTTTTTAAAAAAAAGAAGCACTAATTCCCCAAGAAACTCTTTTTTTAATTAATAAAAAATAATAAAATTATTTAATAATAATTATAAAAATTAATCAAAGGTAAAATTTTAGGGCACAAACGAAAAAAAACTTTTATGAAAAACTTTTACCACAATCGTAAATTGATGAAAATATTAACGATTAATTAATGGTTGAACTTACATGTCTAACGAAAAAAAAATTTTAGGGCAGAATGTCTATTTCAAAAACTAATAGACTTTTATATAATTTCGATCAAAACTTAGAGAATAAGAGCATTTTACCCAAAATTATATGTACATTTCGACTTTTTATGAAAATTAGCAACTAAAGGATTGATATGTAACTCATTTTGATATATTTATGAAAATTCATAAGTTAATGCATTATTAAAAGCACTTATGTGGAGGTGATAATTATCATAACAGGGGCTTGGATAATCAAAAATATAAGATAATAGTTTCAAGTTTTGTATTTCTGTCACTTTTTTTAAGATTTTATTTGTCTCCATTGATTATCTATTTAGACATATAAAAGGGTTACATACGATAAATATTGAGTATATAATGAAACCTAGTGATTGATTCTGTTTTATATTAATAAAATCAATTCACTAAGCATCTTACTGGTATATAATAAGATTACCAAATTTCTATTAAATTTTTCTACAAAAAATAATATAAAAACAATCTAAGAAGAATTTAATGCTGATAAGATTGCAAATTATTTATGTTCGTTTATATTTAGAAAATCAAATATTCTTATTTATAGATATAGATATGTCTCTTCATACAAGCACAACCTTTTTTAAACAAACATATTTATTTGAGCAAACTTAATTATTTAAATAAACATCATTTTTTTAAACAAGCATTATTGTTCAAAAGACTTTTTTCTTTTCATTCTTCCACTATTACCATTGAAAATGTCCAACAATAATTAGTAGGTGAGGTCTAGTTTTGAGACAGATCATTTAAGGTCAAAAGAAGTTTGGATAAGTTATAAGGTTGGGTCATTTTGTGTTAAAGTCATTTCAAGTTCAATCACTTAAGGATCTAATTTATTCAAGATTGAAGTTATCTCAAGTTTGGATTATCCGAGTTTGGAATAGGGTTATTTAGATTCAAGTTATTTTCTATGTTTAAGTTGTTGACTTTTAAAGTCAAATTGAATTAGATTTGTGTAGATCTAAATATAAAAAATCAATCATTTGCTCTCAAATAACTTATTAATAATTTTTGAGTGATTGATATGTAATTTTTATTTTTATTACATTGATAATTATTAATAATTTACCATAATTATAGTTAGTCAACCATAAACTTCAAAAGCTAGAACCCATGTTAATTACTTACATGAAATTTAGAATTTTATTGAGAAATTTTAAGTATGAATATTTTGAAATCCTCCCTTTTACTATTTTTAAGTTAATATCTCTATTAACTATCTAATATCTATTGAAAACGAAATAAAATAAAATGTTTAAATCACGTCTCACAATTTACTTAATTTGATGAGTTATTGTCAATTATTTTTCTAGTTTATGGATTAATTTTTGTTTTTTAAGTTATTATTTATCAATTACAATTATTTATTTTATTTGTTCCAAAAGAGTGCAAAAAAGAAGAATAAAAAAGAACTTTTATATGTGATGTATCTTAGAAATTGAATTTAATTATAAAAACAGAAAGAATTTGTTTTCTTACACTTTTTTAGTCATGGATAATATCCATAACTATGTAAAAGTGTAAGAGTAAAAAAAATATTTAAAAGATATATTAAAATTATTAAAGGCTAAATACTTAACTAAATCTCCAAATTATATCCAAAAAGTCAATTTAGCCCTTATCTTTTTATTGCATTCGAATAAGTCATTGATTTTTTTTTTATCTAATAAGCCCCTCTCACTAACTGTTGATTAACTTTCATTAGTCAATAGTACAATCAGCAATTTTTGATGCAACATCATCTACCATATGGCATGTTAAGGTATCATCTTGATAATGTCAATTCCACATGGCATCAAAAATTGCTGGCTTGGAATTGGGTTTTTTTCCTTTCTAATGTTCAAAATTATTGGTTAGGGATTTGTAACAAAAAAAAAACTAGTTGTTTCAAACTGATTGCCCTCATTTCTTAATTGATTACCATCTATTCTTCCTAACAAAAAAAAAAACCTAATCCAACTTTTCTAGTTTGATTTAAGCCGTTATTGCTAGATTGAAAGTTAGTGTAGAGAAATCCGAGAATACCTAGAAGCAATTTTGAGAAGAGGAAAAGTAAAGGTGGGACAAACAACGTTTATAATACTGAAACTAGTAAAATTTTGAGAAGAGGAAAAGTAAAGGTGGGACAAACAACGTTTATAATACTGAAACTAGTAAAGACACACAATATTGATCTACAATAAAGAAAGTCAAATCTTTCTTTTCGTTTTCCTAGAATCTATAAGGGAAATCTAAAAGACGATTCATGGAATTGTTCTTATCTTTACTCAACCAGAAATCTTAGATCCGAAGGTAATCTAAGCTCGTAAGAAAGCTTATATAAAGCAAACTAAAATGGGGCAATGATTGATGATGTTGAAATTAGAGGATATAAAACAAGAGGAAAAGATGGAACAAGAGAAAGAGACATTGGAATGGTGTGGGGTGTCACACCAAGTGCTTCAAAGGAAGAAAGTAAAGTGCTTCAATCCCACGTCGAACAAGTAGGGGAATTCTTAGCGAGTTATAAACAATGGCATACTATGCACTCCATCAAATTTGCCTTTTAAAGAGATGGTAATGACTTCGTGACAAGTGGTATTGAGTGGACCTGACCTTGATCCGATCCATGTCAAGTACTTTCAAGGACATGTAGATATGGTACCTGACAACAATGAGGGCATCACTAAATTAAGTGGAGGAGAATGCCATGCCAAGTGCTTTAAGGGAAGTGGACAAGGTGCTTCAATCTCACATTAGATAAGTAAGGGAGTTCTTAAGTGACTTATAGGCAATGGCGTTGCACATCCTATCAGATTAGCATTTGGGGGATAGGGTAATGGCTTCTTTGTTAGTCCCATGTCACAAGTGGAAGCAAGAGTATCTAAGAGCAAAGATTGAATCTTTTGGAAAAATTCTAGTATTGTGATAATGGAAGCAAGAGTGTCTAATAAGGTAAAAGATTTAAGTCCTTTTCGACAAAGTTTTGATATTTTGACAATTTAACCTTGCCAATGATACTCATTGGAGAGTAATGAGGAAAATATCAAGGAAGAGAAAAAGAAAAGATTTAATATCAAAATACCAACGCTAATAAACTTTTGTCTATATGGCACATGGCATAATATTATAAAAAAAAGCAAAAAAGGGCACACCAAGCAAGGGCGAATCTAGGAATTTTTTGTGTGGCATCATAATTAAAATAATAATTAAAAAATAAATATGTTAAAATTCATAAAGTAGAAGTTTTAACATTAAATTAAAGAAAATGTAAATTCAATTCATTCATTTAATACTTCAAAGAAAATATATCTAAAATAATTGTCTGCGATCATTTTTCATATTTTGAAAAAGTTGTATAATAGTATTAGTAGAAACACTATCATTCATCCACTCGTCACTCATTCGATTGCGTAGCTTGTGCTTTATAAATTTCATTGCTGAAAAAGCTTTTTCAACTGATGCTATTGCAACTAATAATATCAATGCAAGTTTTACCAGCAAATAAACTAAAGGATACACATTGTTTCTATTTATCTCAATACAAGTTTTACTAGCAAATAAACTAAAGGATACACAGTGTTTCTATTTATCTCAACCATTTTCCTTGCAAGATCACCAATTCCATTAACTTCAAAAAATTCCTCATCTAAATGCAAGTCTACAATATCGTTTTCAAGTTGATTTTCAAGTGCCACTAAATCCACTGTTGACAATTTAAAAGGATACAATTGAGCCACACAAATCAATCTTTCTTTGTTAAAAGCAGAAAATGAAATACATTGAAATAGCTCCATGTTCAATTTAATGAAACAATTATTGAGCTCCTCAAGTTGCAAATCTAAAACTTCATTTATTATATCAAAATGATAATGATGAAAATTTGATATTCTGGAGCTTTGCATCATGACCTTCCTTGAAACACAAATGTGGTATCCATATTTGGAATCACTATGTCATGTTATTGCAAAATGAAGAAACTTCATTTAATAGAGATTCCCATCCTTCACCTCTCATCATTTGCAAATGTTGCTTAGACACTTTAACAAGTGTCATAGAATTTATAATGTCTTGATCTCCCTTTACAAAGTCAAAGATAACTCATTAATGATCCCCAAAACATTTTTAATCAAGTGTAGAACAAAGGCAAACTTAAATAAGTGTAGAAAATCAAGAAGAATATGTGCCTCGGCTCTTTGCTTTGTCTCCTTTCCATCTTCTTCAATGAACTTAAGCACTTCAACTACAGAAGAAAACATAACAATCAAGTTTAATAATGTCCCATAGTGAGAACCCCAATGTGTATCACCTGCCCTTTTAAGAGTTGTTTCTTGATTTAGACCATGTCTGCTTTGAAGCTCACCATTATCCAATGCCTCTTTAACCTTTGACACTTGTTACTTTCTCAGATATATCTTCGCTTATAAGAAGCTCTAACAACATTGGTCAAATGAACAACCATATTAAAAGT